TTAGCCTTCCTGGTGTTTCGGTCCCAGTACTTCGGCCCCTCCCGCTCCACCCACGGCGCCCGCGGCTCCATCCTCGGACTCGCCGCGTCGCTGCCCAACCGCGCGAACTGCGTGTTGTCCACGTAGCCGACGCTGATGAAGCTGGGCTCCCCGCGGCCGGGCCGGGACACGGCGGTGGACAAATACCTCAGGGAGTGGGAGCCTGCGGGCGCGGAGGGGCTGAGACCCCGCGCGACCCTGCTCCCGGCGCGGGGCCGGGGCCCAGGGGGAGGCGGCCGGGAGGGCAGGGGGAGGGGCACCGAGGGCGGGAGGGGCGGGGGAGCACAGGCCGTGGCGGGGCCGGGGGCGGCTGGGGGGCTGGGGCGGGGGCGGCGGAGAGGCGCCTTCCCCGGGGGTCCCGCGGTCCCCCCGCCCCCGCCCCGCAGAGGCCCTCTCCTCCCGCCGCCGCACTCACCCGCCCAGGTCTCACTCACGGCCAGGGCCCCCGCCAGCAGCAGGACGAGGGTTCGGGACCGCGTAGCCCAGACCCTCAGGGTCTGAGGTGTAGCTGCATCCCCACCGGTCAGGTGAGAACTTTAGAACCCGGAACCGCGGTGCAGCTGATTGGCTTCTCCAGACCCCCGCCCCCAATGGGAATGCGAAATGGGGCTGCCCCATGAGTATCCAGGCCGGAGAACCTGAAAGAGTTTGTGAGACGGAGAACAAGGGGAGATGGGGACTCCCCGGCCCTGGGCTTCCCCATCCCAGACACCGCCCTGGGGCCTGAGACCCTGAGAGGCAGGCCCAGGGACCTGCGACTTTGACCCGACCCCTCACCTACTGCACGACGTGCTCTTTGTCACACTGTCTCCCTGAGTCGTGGCCCAGAAGCTGTGTGAGTCAGTGATTCTCAAACATTGTGTTAGAAGGGTCATTTATACAGTCTCAAAAATTACTGACTATCCCAAGGATAATTTTGTGAATGTGGGCTATATTTATCATAGTGGGGGGAAAAACTGGTTTAAAAATTTACTGGGGTGCATGGGTGGCTCAATCATGTAAGCCAGCAACTCTTGATTTCAGGTAGTGATCTCAGGTAGTGAGATCAAGCCCCACCTCTGTCTCAGTGCTGAGGGTGGAGCCTGCTTAAGGTTCTCTTTCTCCTCCTCCCACTGCCCCTCCCCGCTCACTCTGTGTGTCTCTCTAAAAAAATTAAAAAATAAAATTACTGGGACGCCTGAGTGGCTCAGTCGGTTAAGCGTCTGCCTTCTACTCAGGTCATGATCCCAGGGTCCTGGGATTGAATCCCAGCTGGGAGCCTGCTTCTCCCTCTGCCTCTGCCCTCCCCCCTGCTCATGCTCACTCTCTCACTTTCTCAAATAAATAAAATCTTTTAAAAAATAATGAAAAAATTTTAAAAATTAATTCATTTAGAATCATATAAATATCCCATGGCATGAAAACAGCAATATTGTTTTTATGAAAAATAACTATTTCCCCAAATAAACAGGGTAGTGAGAAGAGTGGATTTTGTTACATTTTACATTTTTACAAGTATTTTTCTTATCTGTCTCATTAGAAACCACTAGATGTTCAGATTTGCTTCTGCATTTATTATATTGTTTTGGGTGAAGTATATGAAAAATATTTACAGCCTTGCACAAATATGGGAGGATAGTATGTTTCATAACCTTAGATTATTATGGATATTCAGCTTTGATACTATATTTATTTATTTTTTTAAAGATTTTATTTATTTATTTGAGAGAGAGAGCACATGAGAGGGGGGAGGGTCAGAGGGAGAAGCAGACTCCCTACAGAGCAGGGAGCCCGATGCGGGACTCGATCCGGGGACTCCAGGATCATGACCTGAACTGAAGGCAGTCGCTTAACCAACTGAGCCACCCAGGCACCCCTTGATGCTATATTTAAACTACACAAGTTGTACTTTCTCTAAGGTTATTGGTCAGGTGGCATCTGAAACAGTATCATTGACTATTTTCTTTTCAGTTACATTAAAATCCATAAACTCATCTTGTACACTGAATGGATCTTGTATTAATGCATGATTTTTTAAAAGTAATGTGTTCTTTCACTAAGTTATAAAGCGTTCCAGTGTTGATGCGATGGAAAAAATTATTAAAAGTCACATTTGTTTCAATATTATCACAGATCCCAACAGAAAAGTTTGTCAGTAGTGAGAAGCCAAGTTTCTTGGTGGATCACAAGTTTTCCAAAATTCTGATTGTCTTTTGAGGGCTTACATTTTATGAAGGCATCAAATACTATCAGCTGTCATATGTGAGTTAATTTTCATGAAAGGATAGATTAATGTTCATTTCCAAGAAACTGTCTGCCAAATCTTCTAGTCTAAATATTCCAAGTTGTTTTTTTTTTTAAGATTTTATTTATTTATTTGACAGAGAGAGACACAGCGAGAGAGGGAACACAAGCAGGGGGAGTGGGAAGGGGAGAAGCAGGCTTCCTGCCAAGCAGGGAGCCCGATGTGGGGCTCGATCCCAGGACCCTGAGATCATGACCTGAGCTGAAA